ATACAAAAAAAAAAAAAGTAGAATAAAAATGCCCTCCACCCATTTTACACACATAACATACCTACACAAACACACTACATAAACACACACACTCTGCATTCATTATATGCACACACTACGCAAACACACTGCATTCATTATATATGCACATTACACAAATACTCACAGCACAAACACACTATACAAACACTCTGCATTCACTATTCACACACTACACAAACACACATTGCACAAACACACACACACTACAAAAACACACACTGTGCATTCATTATAAACACACACTACACAAACACTCATGGCACAAATACTACACACACTCTGAATTCACTATACATACTACACACACACACTGCATTCACTATGCACACACTACACAAACACACACACACTGTATTCACTATATGCACATTACATAAACACACACTCTGCATCCACTACACAAACATACACTGCACCCACTACACAAACACACTGCATTCACTAATCAAATACTCTCACTGTATCCACTACACACAGATATATTCTTGAAAACAAAACATTTTGAGTGGCATGTATATTTTGTGCATTTATCTTAATAAAAAAAGAGATTTGCAAAATAAATAAAATAAACATGTTTGGTTAACAGTAGATTTGTGTAGAAATAGTAAAAAAATTTAAAATGGTAAATGTAACTCAACTGATTCCTGGGGCATCTGATCCACCCAGACCAGGTGGGTTTCGTCCCTGGATAACAACTCTTTGAGAATACGCAACGGAATATCGACCTAATCTGGAAACTGACAACATCACGAATGCCTTCTCTGGCGCGGTCCCTAGACCAGTGATGTATCCTGGTTTTGTGCTGCCCCCATGCCACCCCACCCTCCCCCCCTGCCCCGCCTTCTAAATACACACACACATTCACTGACAGACACTCATACACGCGCTAACAGACACTCACTAACAGACACACACACACTCACAATAACACACTCACTTTAAAAAAAAAAAAAAAATTAAATTCAACCTCTTTACCTTTGGGAATGCTGGAGGAGTTCTCCCTTTCCCTGTGGTCCAGTGGCTGCTGGGCTGCTAGGCAGACGCCCGGTGCTGGCGAGGGAGCAATGATTAGTGAGCTCTCTGCTCAGCTCCCTCGGGCTCCACAGAGTGATGCCGGGAGCCGGCTCCCGGCATCACTCTGTGGAGCGCGAGGGAGCCGAGCAGAGAGCTCAGGGGAAAGTGCTCCCTCACCAGCGCTGCCCATCAGACCAGATTTTTAGTTAGGCTGCAAGGCTAACAAGACCTGGGCATTTGGGGCAGCTTTTTTTTGACACCCCCTGGAAAATGGCATCCAAGGCAAATGCCTTGTTTGCCTTGCAGCTAATACGTCCCTGCCGTAGACACCAAGAAGGCGTTCGACAGAGTGATGTGGCCTTTCATGTTCACCCTACTGGAGCATTAAGGATTCCAGGTTCCCTACATCATGGCAGTGAAAGCACTGTACACGAATACAGCAGCACAAATAAAGATCACTGAAGCAAACACCAGACCCTTCCCCTTGACGAACGGGACGAGGCAGGGATGCCCCCTATCGCCACTACTGTTCATCCTAACGCTGGAACCCCTGCTCCAGTCTATCAGAGAACAACCAGAGATACATGGAGAGAATGTAGTGGGACAGCAATATCGGGTCTCGGGCTATGCGGATGACGTCCTTCTCACACTGACACAACCAGTGGACTCCCTGCGAGCCCTATCATCACTCTTAACTACCTACGGAACACTCTCCAGGTATAAAATAAAAATAGAAAAATCTAGTGCACTCCCAATATTGCACATTACATAAATATGACAGACACGGCACTGGTACAAAACACTTATCAGGTACCATTGGCACTCAAATCCATCAAGTATCTGGGTATCAGACTAACAGCAGATCCCAAACTTTTCCAACTCAGCTATGCCACCATATTCAAGACATTGACAGAAGACCTGGAGAGATGGACAGATAAACCCATATCATGGATTGGCAGAATATATTCAAAATGAACATTCTCCCGTGTGCACTATTCCTATTCCAAGCCTTGTCCATGTACTTGACTAAGAAAGACCACTTCAAAAAGCCATAGATACCTTTGTGTGGCATGGAAAAAGACAGAGTGGCATGCAATATCCTATATCGCCCTAAGCCAGCGGGTGGCCTCGGCCTTCCACATCTGCTCAACTATTTCCTAGCAGCCCAACTGACACAAATCACATTGTGGCACTCGCCACCCGATGCTGCAGATGGGTAGATTTAGAATCTCTACTGATGGGAGCAAACATTACCCAATTTTATTTCTGGACCCCTAGAGACCAGAGGACGTTCTTACAGACTGACTGTCCGGCAGTGTTTGCCTCCCTCTGGGTTTGGGACAAATATGCCACAAAATACAACCTCACGACGCCACAATCCCCCATGACGCCCATACTACGTAACAGAGCATTCTTACCGGGAATGAGACCTAGAGAATTCAAGGGGCTAGAGTACGCAGGGCTTCAGAGACTACATCATCTATACATAGACAATATCATTATATATGAAGAAATCAAACATAAAACAAATCTAGATTACTGATTACTTTCGGAACCTGCAGGTTAAGGACTTCGCCCAAATTTCAAAAAAATCAGCCCGCACACAGCTAACATTCTTTGAAAAGATATGCGATGCAGAAACATACCAAATGGGCCTTATCACTAGGTTATACTCCCACTTATGCGACAACACTACAGAATAGGTGGGCTTAAGATACACCGACCAGTGGGAATCTGAACAAGGGGAGACTTTGGAAGAGACTGACTGGCAAGACAACTGGGAAGCTAACGGGTGGACCTCGTTGTGTGTCATGAAGCAAGAACAATCATACAAAACGATGTTCAGGTGGTACACTATCCCAGTTCAGCTCTACCACATGCGTAAAAGACCAACAGACAAATGTTGGAGACTATGCGAACAGAGAGGCACGTACAAACACATGTGGTGGGACTGCCCCCGGATACAAACGCTGTAAGGAAAAGTCACAGACCTCATAACAAATTTTTCAAGAGACCTCTGACACTTGACCCATGGATAATATTACTGTCTAGACCAGAACAAAAATAGATCCACAAAATCGCACAAGCTGCTAGAAGATCCATAGCTCAATCCTGGCTGGGATGCGAGGTGGTCACCTTAAAACTAAAAGACACATATTTAATGGATAAACTGACCACCCAGGTCCCGGGTACACTAAAAACCTTCAGGAAGGTGTGGGAGCCACGGGAGGCCTACCTTGATGGGATGACCTGACTTGACTGATACTGCGGCCGAGGTGGTCCATGGGGGAGGGGTGCTTCCCCTTGCCTCGGCCCTCCTGGCATACCAGTTCTGTGTTGAACCCAACTCCCTCTTCCCTACCCCATCTTCTTCCTATAACCCTTCTCCTTTTCTCATACAATCTCTATGGACGGGTATTCACCTTACAGATAAAATACTTGAGGGTTGGACATCATACAGGTGACAGCGGGTGGACACATGGAACTGGTGACTTCCGGTAGTACACCACAGATGAGACTCGGACTCACCAGCAGCACGTAATGGCTAGCAGCCTCCATAGACCTGGCCCCAAACGGGCTTGCACCCACTGCAACACTCTACTCATATTCTTCCTTCGCCAGGAATAACTGTATATTTGCAAGGTGCCCATCGGAACCTCTGTTTCACTAATGATGTCAACGCTGTTACCATTAATGTTACATTACTGTTTATATTTGTTGAGTATCACTGTACATAACACTGTCTACCACTCAATCAAAAATAAAGAATGTAAAAAAAAATAAAAATGTACAGAATATCTGTAAGTTATTGACTATCGGCCTGAAAGTGCACAGATTATCGGTATCAGCTCTAAAAAAAACAATACCGGTCGATCCCTAGTGAAGATAATATGCAAAAGTTAATGAATCTAGTGAGGGAAGTGCAACAGAGGCCTTGGCATTAGATGTCGTGTAGGCTTTTGGACAGAGTCAGTTGGGATTTTTTATTGGAAACAAGTATTCAAAATTTGTTGCATGGCTTTGTATAGCAATCCCAGTGACAAAATTAGAGGTCCCTTCTTGAGCTCATCATTTTTCGATGTTCATAATGGCACTAGACAGGGGTGCCCCTTACCCCCCGCCCCGCTTTATGCTCTTTCCATTGAACCTTTGGCCTCAAAGATAAGACAAGCGGAGCAGGTAGGGAGCATTGTAGTGACTAGAAAGGATTTTAAAATAACATTGTATGCAGATGACACTTCTTATATTAACAACACCCGATACATCCATCCCCCCCAGTAATATTGATTATTAGGGAATATGGATATTACTCTAATTACAAGCTGAACCTACATAAAACTCAAATTATAAGTAAAGGGCTATCAGACCATCAAAAGCAAGGGTTACAAAGCAAATTACAGTTTTGCTCGGAAAACAATCAGAATTATTAATTGGAGATAAAAATAATGCTGGAGCTTGAAAGATATATACCAGTAAATTATAAATTTCTAAGTCAGAATCTTAATTTGCAAAAAGACAAAATGAAAAAAGTAGAGGCTTTATTTTTGGCTATAGTAAACAATGTGAAAGCATATTTTGTTTCAAAGTTCTTGTTTAGGATGTGTCACGGCCCCAAGCTCGTAGCTGCACTTGGTCGCACCTGATCGGTGGAACCACGCTGACAAGTTAGTGAATTTACCTGTTCAGCAGTGAGCCGTGAGCCCGCTGGGGTGTCCGTCCCCTCCACAAGCGGCAAACAAAATGGCGCAGACCACGAGGTCGCGCCACAAGGGTTGCGCAAACGACACACACGCTCATACTGGTGTCAGAGACGAAGCTCCGACCAATCACAGCACAAGGAGGGGTATTTAAACCTCTGAAGTTCCCTAGCCCTCTTGTGGTTTCAGTTCCTGGTTACCGAGAGTGCGTTTTCCTTGTTCTTGTTATTTGATCTTCCCAGTATTTTGACTTTGGCTATTCCTGACTCCTCTCATCTCTGGTTTACCTGACTTGGCTTTCCTTATCGATCTTGTGTATTTCTGGCTTCCTTGACCTCAGCTTTCCCTTGACCATTCTCTGTTTTTCAACGTATTAACCCGGCCATTCTAAGGACCGGTTTACGTTCTGTCTATCTTCTATAGTCCATGTAGATGTTACATAGTTTTGCATGTTGAACCACACTGTTAGTCGTGACAGGATGATTTCAATTTCGAGAACATTTTTAAAATATTTCTCTCATACATCTGAGAAAAAAAAAAGATAACACTCAACACTTGGGTTGGGCTTTCCGGATTTTTGTGTTCTATATTATTATTATTACCACCATTTATATAGCGCCAACAGATTCCATAGCGCTTTACAATATTATGAGAAGGGGGATGTAATTATAAATAGGACAATAACAAGAAAACTTAGAGGAACAATAGGTTGAAGAGGACCCTGCTCAAACGAGCTTACTGTCTATAGGAGGTGGGGTATAGGACACTTTAGGACAGGAAATATCAAATGGGGTAAAGCAGAGCTGAAGGAGAGAGTAAAGCACTGCCCTATAGGAGAGAGCAAGAGACAGGTATGTAAGGTAGAGGTTACTCTGGGAGGCCATAAGTTTTCCTGAAGAGATGGGTTTTAAGGCCCTTCTTAAATGATTGAAGACTAGGGGGGAGTCTTATGGCGGTAAGCAGGCTATTCCAAAGGAAAGGACCGCCCGCCAGAGGTCCTGCAAGCGCCAGTTGGCCATAAAGGTGTGAGCAGCGGTCAGGAGGTGGTCACAGGCAGAGCAGAAGGAACAAGGAGGGGCATACCTATGGATCTTTGAAGAGATATAAGAGGGGCTAGAATTGTTCAGTGCTTTAAAATGTATGGGTTAGGACTTTTAATTGACTCTTATAGGATACAGGGAGCCAATGTAAGGACTGGCAGAGGGGTGAGGTGTGAGAGGACCGACTAGATAAGAAAATCAGTCTAGCTGCACCATTCATTATTACAGACTGTAGCGGGGCAATACAGCTTTGGAGAAACCAATCAGAAGAGGGTTACAGTAATCCATGCGAGAAATTACTAGAGCATGGACAAGCGCCTTGGCAGCATCTTCTGTATGAAAGGGGCGGATGTAACTATGTTTTCACACCTGATTGCGTGATGCTTGGAAAAAAAAATTGTTAGAGATATTGGGTGGGAAAACTAATTCCCTCCCACTTGTACTGGATTAAGCATTATCAATGCAAATAAAACGGGGGCAAGGGTGAGAGCAAAGATGGGTATTAAAGAATATATTACTCAGCATACACCGATAAATGTCCTTAACCAGTACATTGAAGATCTAGATTTAGAAGTTGGAGTAGTAATGCAGTTAATAGAGTGGCAGATTTGTGTTCGGAAGGAGAGATAGTATCTTTTGAAGCTCTAACGAGAAAAACTGATTTAGTCAAGATATTTTTATTTATCTAAGATTGAAAAACTTCTTAAAAACCATTTCGGTTCCACCACCAACAAAGCTGGTTAAGTTTATAGCAATATCTCCTAGCTCCAAAATAATTTCAAAAATAAAAAAAAATAATTTAAAAAAAAAACAAAAAAAAAACAACAATCTTTAAATTTACCATCTATAAGTAAATGGGAGAGAGATTTGGTGGTTTGGAAAACAACAAAATTGATAGAAACCTGGGTAATGGTTAGGAAAAGCGTACATTCCATAAACTTGCAGGAGGTATTCTTGAAGTTAATAAACCGCTGGTATATGGTCCCTTGGCATATAAGATTTAACACACTAAACAAAGGGGGATGTTGAAAATGCAACAGTTAAAATCATTGTCAGAAAGCATATTATCTAAATTATTGAGGGAAACATTACATTGGAACCACAAACATGGCTTTTTCACTTATATCTCCCCGCAATAAGTAAATCAAAAGAATAGTTATAAATATTTTGATGGCAATCAAAATATGTATGGCAAGACACTGGCTAAAATCTGACCCACCTGCATGGATTAAAAATATTAGCCAGATCTCACTTCAAGGTAGAATGGAAAAAACTATTTTACAATTTTAAATGGTAAATTATCTCTATATAATAAAATATGGACTTCATGGTGGAAGTATATTGAAGAGATCCTCGATGGGAGAGTGCCTTAAATAAATATAATCATGAAAATTTAAAAAAAATGTACTTATAAAAAAAGATAATTCCTGACCTCCCATACACACAGACTTAATCAAGCACATATTAAACAGATATATACATAATATTTTCCCCAACACTGGTACTTATCAGACATTGGTGAACACAAATATGAGTATTTTACAGCAGTAAAACATATAATGACAATGATACAATCAGTGAAAGGGCGATTTTGTTTTGTTAAAAATGCAAAAAACAAGTAAGAATACTAACTTTGGCCAGGGTTTGTACCTAGTGTTTTCTTTTGCAAATTGTATGCCATGATTCATTTTAATATTTTTTTCATTCCTGGGCTTTCATATGGTCTCAATGGCAACCTAGGCCCAGACAATAATCTGGAAAATTTCATTTTGTAAAAACTGAAAACTGGAAAGCCCTAAATTTAACACTAACTTTCCAAAATGCCATGAACCCTGTACACTGTTTGTTAAGACACTCGCAGTTTAAATGGATGAAACCGCCTTTTAGCCGATCATCCCCTTTTCACAGAGACACAGGCTGTATATAGTAGACCGCCAAACTCCTGAACGGAGTGCAAGGGAATGCGGTAAATCCACGAATAACGAATCAGCCGAACTCCTTCCACAGCTAAAACAGGCAAAATAAATATTCCAAGTAGCAATCCCCCCAAACACGAGACCAAGCTCCATCTTGAGGGTAAAATAGGATCTGCTTTAATGAGGGCACTCCCATAGGGGACCAGATGGAAGACTGGGACACATATCATACAGTAGCCACAGTGGCTTAGGTTTAAAAACTCCCCTTTACACAAATAAATCCCTCCTCTCTATCCTGGAGATAATTGGGAAGAAATCCAATTATCTCCAAGGATAGAGGCAAACCGCCATTTTACATGAAACATTAAAAATGCATAAAAATACTGAATACATTGGATTCGTTTAACATATCCCCAGATAGCCTAGATATGAGCGCACATAACTACCGAATAGCGCTCAGACCCAATGCACACAGTTCAATCGCAATGGAGTCAAAGTCTTTCACACTGTCCTTTCGGTATACGAATGACTCCATGGGATGGCTATCTGGGTTAAGTCCATTCGTATCATCCAAACTCCCGAACGGACCGGTGTTAGTATGCCTTGACGAAAAAGAAGGGCGATCGGCAGTTTCAGCGGTGTTCGGTAGGAAAAAGTGTCCGTTTATAGTTCCATAAGTTCCTCGTGGAACACCGCTGTTCATTCGCGTGTTTTAAAATGGCCGCTGCCTCGTGGTCGGCATATGAACGGTTAGAATGAACCCTGCATACCGTTAGAATGAAGAGGTGTCTGCGGTTAACAACAACGTTCTAATTGGGGCCAAGAGGTTAACCAGCAGCACACTTCTCTTCTGGGTGGCCGTCCGTTTGGTAGTTTGTTCGGTATAATCCTGCCATAAACGAACAGGGGCATACGGACAGGTATTTCCACGAATGGAGATAAAACAGATGAACCAGCAATAATAGTTATACAGATGGGTCTGTCACACTGTTGTACTAGTGAGACATTGCTGAACACAAATATGTTCATTTAACTGCAGTAAAAGCTAACATTATTATGATATTCACAATTAAAATGCCATGCAAATGTTGAAAAATGTCTTAATTTCTCAAACATGTTTTTAATTTTATTAATAAATTATGCTTCCTATGTTTTAAGGCCATAGGTCTGTATTTGTGGGAGAAGTTTGTACTATTAAACCCCAATTACCTTACCTGGGCTGTTCCATTCAGGTCATAGGTTACCTGGAACTTCCAGTTTTGGCTTCTCACAAAAAGATACTCACCTTCTATCAAGAGTCCTTACCGCTCTTCTGGCTGGACCACTGCCCTTCCACAACTCAGGAGATTGTCCTTTGCCATTACAGAGCTTCTCTGCCTCCTGGTCTTGATTGTGAGTCATGCAGCAGTAACAGGTTCACCAGCAGTTCAGTCAGCAAATTGTCACATTCACAAATTTTTATTCATTTGTATTCACTTATTGTGAATTTTAGAATTCAGTGCCTCATTCACTAAACATTTACTATTTATTTCATTAATTCGATCAATTGTATTCAAGCATTCATGTGTAATTTTGCATTTGATTAAATTAATTTGTTAGCTCACCTCTGTGAATTAGTATTGCAAGCTGTATACTGGAGTATGCTCCAGTAGTACAGCAAACGCCCTCCTTTATTCATTTATACTATAATTCAGCCTGTTACTATTATTAATAGTTATTTTATTATTTATATATAGTGCCATCACATTCCATAGCGCTGTACAATGGGTGGACTAACAGATATGTAATTGTAACCAGACAACTGGACATACAGGGACAGGAAGGTGGAGAGCCCTGCTCAATGAGCTTACATTCAAGAGGGAGTGAGGTATAATGACACAAAGGGTAAAAGTACGGGTATGAAGTAGATTGTTAGAAAAGTATTCATTGAGGGCTTAGTAGGTAATTTTTGACAGTTGCAGGAGAGGAGTCATGGGGGATAAAAGTAGACCTAACAGTTTAATTGGTATGCTTTCTTGAAGAAGTGAGTTTTCAATGATTTTTTAAATGAGTGGAGACTGGGTGAAAGTCTCACAGAGAAGGGAAGGGAGCTCCACAGAAGAAGTGCAGCCCTGGAGAAGTCTTGGAGGCGAATATTAGAGATGGGTTTACGGACAGAGGATATATGTAGGTCTTTGGCAAAGCCAAGGGACATACTTGTGTATTAGGGAGTATAGGTAGGTTGGAGCAGCATTATGTAGGGACTTGTAAGCAAGCACCAGAATTTTAAATTGAGCCCTATATCTAACTGAAAGCCAATGCAGGGACTGACAGCAGGGAGGCGTGGGAGGTGCAAGCAGACAGGAAAATGAGCTTCGCATTCATTATAGATTGCAGTGGTGCAATCTGGGAACATGTAAGACCACTGAGAAGGGTATTGCAGAAGTCAAGGCGAGAGAGAACAAGAGCATGGACCAGCACCTTAGACCGTGGTTAAATATGGGCGAATGCGCACTATGTTTTTGAGATGGAAGCGA